ATCATTAAATACAAACCTCTTTAGTACCGACTAACAACAACCAAAATGCAATTAGCTATTTGATGAGCAAATAACTTGATATTATTGCGTAAACTGAATGTATGCCCATAAAGCTAGATAAGGTTTGCCCTGCTAATAAGCAAACAAACAATTTTCTGAAGGAAATCAAATATTATCATGAAAAACTAAAATGGCTGATCATAGTGTTAACAGAAATCAGGAGGCGAAGGGCACACATTTGTAATCTCCCTCTAATTGAGTCCATAAATCCCAAAAGATTTCCTTTGATTGTAAAGTCTAAAATTATCTCAGAGGAAGCTGAGCAACGAATGAGCAAAAAGACATGAAATCTTGTCAGATGTAACCTAGTTACAGATTTGAACTCTTCCTAAATATAATAAAAATCATCAACTCAATATTTTAGAACATGCAGATGGGCTGGAACCAAAAAAATAAAAGTTTAATTCCAAAATAAGATATACTGTTTCAAAATAATAGTTGGAACAATAGTAGTTTGCCATATACCCAGTTCAACAGTGACCTCTTTAATAAATGATTTTTTTCCTCAATAATATTTACAGTGCGGTTTTGAGAAGCTGATTTTCAGATGCTCCAACAGGCCAATGATAAATCCTCGCCACTGAACCTGAAAAGTCCACCCACTGTGGGATAACACTTCAGTGACATTGATCTAAGTCATTCTATTTCCCCCATGAATGACAAGGGGAGATACCAGACAATTTCCGAACACTACCTGCTTGTCCGGTCCACATTATCTTAATGGAAATGGAGTAATCAGATTTTGAATGAGACATCACTTGGGCGGATAGACAAACTGGAGGAACCACATGAGTCACTGAGGATGCTCAACACTTTATCAACCAACAAAATCACACTGATAAAGGAAAGGGGAGCAGATTAAATGTTCTACCATAAGAGACACTTTTAAGTTTTATCTTAAAACAAGCCATTTCTTCCACATTTTTTTTACCTTGTCATTAAACTAGTATTTTTTCTCCAGGAGCTATAATGCTATAAATAGAGAAAAGGCCAACAGTTGATATCAAATCTATTTTTTAACTTCAGCTATGTGCTGCATTTACAGAGATCAACAAAAGACTATCATGCAGGCTATACTGTATTTTATCCCAATCATAGATAGTAGTTACAAATAATGGACTGCAGAAGAACTAGATGAGTCACACTTACCTACATGCATTTGGGCGAAAGCACATACTAAAGCACTCCAGTGAGGCTGAATGATTATTCATATGGGATCTGGAGTTAAAAGTGTGAAGTGGTGGGAGCAACTATTCAAGATCATTAAATTCAAATAAGCAACCGTGCCCCAGAAATATAACATCAGCCGAGACAACCAAACCTTATTCAGTCAAACAAAGTGCATGATTTAAGAGGAAAGTCCTATCCATATAAAAGAATGTAAGGTACTTAAAGGATGCAGCTAGCTGCTAATGTTGACACCTGCATTAAGGGTCCAACTCAAGATTATTTTGATCTTCAATTATTTTCTGGATTAATCATTTGGTTTATATATTTCTTTCTTTTTAAACTTGAAAAATAATAAATGCCCATCACAGTTTCTTAATGTGCTTGTTGATGTCTTCAAATGATTACTTTTCTGTCAGTTAACTAAGTGACTGACTTGCATTGCTCTTCTTTCTACCTACTGGCTCTACAATGCAAACAAGTATCACCATTTTACAGGATGATAATAACAAAACAAATATCTGAAAGCTTCACAAAAACTATTTATGTTAGCTTCAATGTCAAATCTAACATTGCACAAATTAAATGCACCATCAACAAGTAGGACACAAATGTGCGCTGTGCCTGAGAATTTTCCCCACTTAGCTCCATCCCTCCTCATAAGAACCATGGGTCACGTGCATGCAGAGAGCAGGGAGCAGTCCACAGTGGGAGAATCAATGGCAGGCCTAGTGCAAACTGTATTCAGCTAGCCAGGGATGGCAGATGGGGACTGAGGCCCTTTCTCCTCAGGCATGAACAGAGGAGTGGTCTGTCTCCAGGCAAACACAGAAGACGTCATGTCTCTGCCTCACTGTCGTACCATTAGTGGATCTCGCTATTGATCACCGGTGCGTAAATTGCCGAGCAATCTAAAGGAAGAGCATCACATGTTTTGTCAACAGGACAGCGAGGTGCGCTTGTGCACACCGTGAAGACAACTGCAGCAATAAAGGCTGGAGTTTGTGTGTGTGTGTGTGTGTGTGTGTGTGTGTGTGTGTGTGTGTGTGTGTGTGTGTGTGTAGGTTGTCTCGTCTTGCTATATCCTCTCCGAGTACATTCACTTTCACAATGAAACAAGTCTACAGGATGTATTCCCTCCAGCGTGACTGACACTGCATTCAGTGTGACAGAACAAACATTACCTAACAAACTAGCCCCGCTGATGCCAAAAGACAACATTGCCAATCAGTTTAGAGTCTTTTCAAAATCACACACACAATCTACCCTCTTCCTCTGTTCAGCTAGTACTTTGACTCTTTGCCCAATAATCTGTCGCCCAGAGTTTGGAAGGACATCTGGAAACAAATCTAATCTCCTAAAACGACTTTAAAATTACCTTAATCTTAGATGGCAAACATCCAGGATTCTGATTTGAGCACCAAAATCATGATGTTTAAATTAAGACAGTGCTGTCTGAAGGAGATGGGGAAATGGAAAATTTGTTGTCTTGCTAAATACAAAAAAAATGCACTGGACAGATTTGCAGTAAAAGTTCATACACCAGATGTAAAAAAAACAATCTCTCCGACCCATGTACTCATGTTCATAAGTTAAGTGTTGACTGAGGTGAAGTGGAGATGCAGAGGCTGGAGACAGCTCTGGAGTCTGCCTCAGGTGAGGTTACCCTGTCTACCTCGATACCTCAATAACTGAGTAACTGAAGTGTGCGACTGAAGCTTCAGACCACAGGAAAAGTAAGTGGTAAGATGGTTATGTTGATTCATTTGAGTGTGACACTAATGGAGGTTGTAGCCTTGGATTGCGTCACTGTAAAGCTACATCTTACAGAGCACTGTGTTATGTAAAAGGTTCAGCCAATATGCTGGCAAGGGACTTCTTATTACAAACTCTATATTCAGACATATTTCGTTTCAGAGCAAAGGGATAAAACGCAGGATGCTGCTCGGCATGCAGTAGGTTAGCATACTTCTGAGCAGAGTAAATTCATTCACCTAGCATGAAGGAGATGGTCTGTCCTCGGGGTGTACACAGGCCAGCACAGGATGCATTAACAGCAGTCAAGCTTACAAGATTCATAAAGTGCTCCACCTGACAGGCAGCAATGGAATCCCACTGACATTTTGTGCCACATTTATGGCTCTGATTCAGTCAGGATAAACACACAGAGAGGAATCTCACACATGGCACTGGATAGCAAAAACATATCAAAAAAAGCTAAGATGAAAGATCTAGTCAAAAATTGATTGAGTGCGCAGTATCCAGAGGCATAATAGTTCAAGCATGGTAACAACTAATCATAGTGGATGAGAAATAATTGCTATAAGTAACAGGTGTGGGGACACAAGTCCTTCAGTAAGTTCTTAAAGGAACAAAATATCAGTTCATAAACCTACATCATGTGTTAACCTATCCAAAATAGCTCTTCCATTCACAAAAGCAAAACAACCCTAGAATTGTAAATAGCAAACAAAGAAGCCCGTGAGATGCAATTTCCTATCTAGTTAGGCGGTGTTGATTACATCATGAATCACTATTACAAGCTCATTAGGGCACAACAGAAAGTTTTGGTGGCTTAATTGATACTCTGCTGTCTGTTGCAGGGAACTGTTCTCAGAGCCATGTGCTCAAACCATTATTTAACAGCACTATAATTGTACTTCTCTAAACCCATTATGTGATAGAGATATAATATATTCATAGACATTTTGATTTGGAGACAGACTTCACAACATAGCTTTTTCACAGTGACCACAGCCACTGCAGCTATTCATTGAGCTCAAGCATTTAAAAACAATTTCCTATTATTAAGCCTATATAGATCTAGAATACCAGTCATATTTTTTTCACCCAATGTGAGATTTTGATATTTTTTAACTATAAGTGAGAAAACCTCCATTAAAATTAAGAAATTGAGCAAGTGAGTGAAATAATATTAGAAATATTTTTCTCCATCATTTATCCACATAATGAAGACCCCATTAGAAATCTCTCTAGGACACCTGAAAGTAGCATGGACAGTTACTCTTCAGTGAAGCCTGGTCTGGTGTGTCAGGACGCGCCCATGACACCTTCCTCCGCACCTGGTATCCTGATAGAATAACCCAGCGATGGGCCATTACTAAGCACTACGGCTCAATCTGCCAGTAAAGATGACAGAGCCGAACCATATGCCTCAATCAATCGCGGCACTAACACCAGGACGTGCGTTTTAGTTCCACCCCAGATCAAAGTGTTTACAGTCGTCGGGTGCTTCCTAATCTTGGCTTTAAGGCAGGCGGCAGTTTGAATCGTCGGTATGTGTGGCGCTATTAGACTATGGCCTCTGGCGTGGTCTAATTAATGCTGAATTTAAAATTCACACTCACTTAAAGCAGATGTGCAACGTAGGGTTGAAACATCACCAATTCATTACATCTACTCTGTGCATCAATATTTTTTTGGAGAGGTAAGTGCATGCCAGGATGTGCTGCGGATCATGTAACAGCATCAACCCCGCCACGCCACGATAAGTCATGTATTGCACACACAGCATCTCCCCGCGTCTGTCATAACGACACAGAAATGCAAAATGCAGTTTCTTCGTACCAAATCGTTAACAATTCTGCATTGCGGAGGGCTGCATAAGCTCCTCTCCATCCGCACATCCCACTCAGCCTGTTGTAAACAACACTGATTTCATAGCTGTCAAAATGCAGAGCCCGGCTTCTTTGGAAATAATGTCAAAAAAATTAGTTTTTACTGTGTCCGCCCAGTGCTCCCCGTGTCCTTACCTTCTGTGGCGGGCAAACAGCGTCTGTCCGTGTGTCCTTCACGATGCTCACACCTGCTCAGCACCGCATTGCCGGGCGCTCAAGAGCGGGGGAAGGAACTGACAGAGCCGCGGTCCTGTCCCCGTAGATTGGATGAAGGGTTACGACTGTCAGCTTAGGGGGCGCTAGACCTGCTTGTTCCACGGACCAGGGAGCAGTGGCTCCCACAGTGGTGTCCGGGTTCCCCTATATGACCTGAGAAATATTTTTATAAAACGTTAATGCTTATAAAAACCTTTAATTTCTCTCACTAAAGAATATCTGCCTTTATATGTGGTTTTAACATTTACAATACAGTAAGTGTTACCTTTAGTCTATTACAGTTTATAAAAAATAAGATATTCTTCTATCTCATGATCTTTACTACATCCCATAATTCTCACATACTGGACCAATAACTTCAAAACAATATGTAATCTCTAATTATCATTCTGGGAATATGACTCCTATAGGCTATAGTGATGTAGTCTTATCACTGCAAAGAATTTGCCTCTGGTTTACTGGAAACAGATAAGTGAACTGATGAAGGGGTAGGGCAGGTGGACATTTATTTATCTTCTATTTGCTTTGTATTTTACTTCTCTCTCTCTCTCTCTCTTTTCTTTAATTGTTAGTTATTACTGACCGCCGGTGATCTAATTGCATGTATATCTGTATGCCGATAGAGACATGTGTACTCATATGTCAACATGCTCAAAGAACAAGAATCTGGCAGAAAGCTTGAGCTCTGTTTATGTTTTTGATGTTGGGGCAGTGAGCTACAATGTGGATTAATCATCACTGAATCCCTTTGATATTACAATACCCCCCACTGTCTCAGAAGGGTTGATTATGTCAGTGGACTCCTTATTTCAGTCTTCTCATGAAACAGATCATCCCTCTGTTGTTTTCATGTCTATTCAAAGGCTACATGTAATTTCATGGGGAATCAGAGTCATCGTCATTACCTACTATAAATGATATAAATCTGTTAAATGAGTCATATTGGTTGTGTCCAAAAAGACTCACTCATTCACTACTCCCTACTCACTATTCAGGGAGTCCTATGTAAATGACTATATATAGCGAGCTCACTGGTAAAATGAAAAAACACTTGCAGACACTACACTCTGTTTTTCTTTCTTTCAGTGCAAGAGCAAAGCTTGATGGTGTTAATTGCTTGGTTAGTGACCATCGGTTGTACACTACTTTTCATGATGCATTGTGGGATACTATGAGTCCACTATGTAGGGTATAATAATTCTCCCTATACATGCTAACAGCTCTACAAAATGGTGAACTCATGATACAGTGGACTAGGGAGTAGGTGATTTCAGAGACAGCCACTATAGTTGACCATGTCCATTGACCTCTTTATACCATTGGCACAGGAAAAAACATCAAAGCTAACTTACACAGCCTCAACATATGTTAGCAAAACACCTACTTTGACAGCAGTCCTCTATCTTGCCTTCTGTCAGTTTTGAGTCCTTTTAGCACTGGCTTAGTCTCCAACAACCCTGCTATCTCTAACTTTGTCCGCTCTTTATTGTTGGGCAGGGAGTATACACTCTGTCAGAGCTCTGTTGCTGGAAACGCCATGTTAATGATAAGAGCTGCTTAAACTCAACTTTACTGTAAATGTGCTGTCATGAAAATAAAATCCAATGGAGACTAAAAACCTCTTAAGAACTGCTTAGCAAATTGTTCTTAGGAAGAGTACTTATTAAAATTAAATATTAAATTTAAACTTAGCTTAAAGTTCAACCTTAGTAAATGTAGCCTAGTTTAATGTAAGCTACTTAATTGTCTTAAAAACAAATAATTAATGGCTGGTACATCCTTAACAGAACATAAAATCTGTTTTCCCATAAAATTGTAATGCTTTTATCTAATTCATCTCAAATTCTTCTGACCTCTCCAATCATTCTGCCATTCCTCACCTGCCTGCCAGTTGTCTTCAGTGTCTCTGCCCCAACCACCTGTTTACACGCCTGCTTCTCATTAGTAATCAACCCCAAAACACTCCCACCAAGTATTCAGAGTAATTAGCCTACTACATTTTTGGGCCACCCTTACAATGGCGGATGTCATTGACTGACTGGGTGATCATATTTCCACCACTGGTCAGCTGAATGCCACTGATCGGACAGTGTATGGCTACACCTCTTATTACAGGCACTCACCTAGCTGCTCTAGTTTCCCGGCTGCTCTTAAGCTGCAGGAAGCGGAGTGGCGCTTCCAGTTCACGAAGCCTCGCTGCAATTTTGGCAAATAAACTTCTTTCATTACACGTATCATTATTACTAAACGGGCAGAGGAATAACTATACATCTGACACACCGAACAAGAGAGAGCAGCGGGTGGGAGGGAGAGGAAGAAGCTGCTAATCTAAAGAAACTAGCAGATTCGAGTAGCATGTAAACCACGGAAACCACGGTACCTGGGAATGAGACAATAGCTAACTGCAGCACAGCAATAAAAGCCCTGTTAAGAAACAAAGGGTTTCTTAACCTCTACTGAAACGGTAGGGGGCTTTTAATCTGAAACGATTACAGGAAGTATTGAGTTTGTATTAACACATAATACAGTAACTTTAAGAGGACAGACAGAAGCCACAGAAAAGGAGGCTTTCTACTAAAATACAGCTGAAACAAAAGGAATTAGAAATAAAGACCTGCCTCTGATACAAGTGTGCCTCGAATAAAGACATGTTACCTTCTGCAGTTGAGGTAAATAAAGGCCTGATCACTTTTTGAGGAAACTGTTGTGAATCCCAGAGGCTGTGTACTGTTAAAGACAAAAGAAAGATATTCTGTCTCTTCTAACTTTCTCTCTGAGTGATCATTTTACATGTAAATATAGCTGAAAATATAGCACAGTATTTGTCTTCGACTTCTGTGTTTGGTGATTTTGTCAGACGATGTCATGGTTATAAAATCAGGATTTTAGCAGCTTTGAAAAGGAAGTTAACATGTAGTCATAATGAGCCACATTTCAGTCACTATTTCAATCTTGTTCTGTTGTCTGACAATAGAAACATAAAAACATGTAAGTTAGAACAGCTTTATTGATGATTTTATGAATTCACTGTATTAAAATACAACCGTTGTCAACTACCTCCTCAGTTTCACACGTTGACCAAATGTGGTCCAGCTATAGGATATTTTTTTATAGATTTTGACCTTTATATGTTTTTTAATTTTTGTCAACCTGTGCTTCAGTGTACAATTTAGTCATCATTCCATACAAAACTGTATTATTCCCAAATGACTTATTTAGATCACTGTTTATTTTACTCTGCATATTTGTGCAGCTGAAGCTAGAAATTACTTTCAAAGAACAATATAAAATCTATCCAGAGTGACATTTTTCTTGAGAAACAAAATTTCCTTATATTTTCTTGTTCTATGCAGCAGCAACAAAAGTTTCAAACTGAGATCTCAGAACATGAACATGTAAATCAATCTGAATGACTAGACACCACAAGGAGTGAATGAGAAATGAATATGTCTGCAGTCTGCACGTTAACTGTCTGCCAGTTTTTCATCAGTCAGATATCAAAAGGGCACCTCTACTAATTACAATGCCTTGCCCATGTGTCAGTCCAAACATGAGACTGTCTCAATCCCCTGGGATTAGATTTAAATCTTGGATGTAAACACCACACAGCAAATAATAATCTGCTGTGGCGGCACCCCATAAATAATGCAGGAATCTTTGAGAAAGAGCAGGGTAGAATTAATTGAAGGACTTAGCCCCCATTGGATGAATTTGGGGCAACATATCAAAGAAGGTCTTTTTAATGTGATCAGAAACTGACTTCACATAAAGGTTATAGCTTTATATCAAGTTGAGTGTTGCTGTGCTGCTTTTTTACCCAAGGCTGTTGTTATTATTCTGACTTTTCATCAAAAAAAGTATTGTTTCCTCTAAGATGGGAACTGTTGTTAATATACAAGAAAAAAGACATTATCTCCACCCGTGGGGGATGTTTTAGAAAAATATGTCACTCCACAGAAAACAGAAAGGCCAAAGGAATTCAGTAACAGTGAGTGAATTCATGACATCCTAATAGAGCAGCATGATACAGGGCCCAAAAAGGGTATTATTTTGTGTACGGGTTATCTGCGATCTAGGTGTATTCAACCCGCAGACAAACACTTTTGTTCCTCTTACAACATGGCAGTGCAAATAGAGATAGATCCCACTGGTGAATAACACTGTTACAAGGCTGGTCTCTGGGGTGGATAAGAGGAACAGCAAACACCCTGCTGTCTGGAGGAAAGAATAGGTGGCTGTCATCTATCTGCCTGGCAGAGGAGGAGGGAGATGGAGGAGGAAGGGAAGGGGAAGGAAGGAGGGTAAATGTGATTTAGCCCCAGTGATCTCCATGGGGGCTCATGCAAAGGTAAACCCCCACGCACCCCACCCATCCAGTTCAAATGCACTTGGGACATCAGGAAGGTGGGGGTGGGGTGTGTGGAGGGGTGCATGGGGAATAGAAATTGAGGTGTGGAGAGGTTTATAATCCTGGTGGTATCATGATGAAAAGGTGGAGGCAGTTTGATAGAGGCCGTCAAGATCGATAGAACAAAGCTGTCTCACTTTATGTTGCATCCATTCCAGCAGGAGTGCGATGATATCTGCCACCACATCAACTCATCAACCCTGACCCCTCCCCCTCAAAAAGCCTTCTTGGGTTGATAAAAACACTGGGGAAGACATGATAGCCCTGTACTGGAAGAGGTGATTTCCCCACTACACGTGGGGTTTTCAATTTCAAATAAACCAAACCTCCCATTCAGGCTCCAAACAGCTTGGTCTTGACAGATGTGTGTGTGTGTGTGTGTGTGTGTGTGTGTGTGTGTGTGTGTGTGTGTGTGTGTGTGTGTGTGTGTGTGTGTGCGCATGCGCGCACGTGCAAGTGAGTGTGTGTGATGGCAAACCGTTCGTCAGCCATATGGAAATGTCACAGAGTAATCATACACAATTATCCTCCCCAGCTCTCTGAGCATCAGAAAAGGGCAAATTAACATAAAGGCACAAAGGCTCTGCCACTTACATCTAAGGAACAGACGCCCTGAAGCT